AACGAAACGTCTGTTTAAGATTGCCTTGAAAGGTCTGCCCAATGGTGAATCCATGAATCAGGTCAAAGATGAATTGACTAAATTACTTGGAGCTGAGTCAGCCCAAGCAATCACAATGAAAATGAAATCCCATCCTGGTGATTCGCGCAACGGGATTTCCAACGATTTTTATTTAGTTCACTTCAAGTCTTGTGAACTAAACAACCTTAAGGCCTAGACTAAGCTAGCTTTATGATCCATGTCCGAGTGAAGTGGGAATACTTCAGGAAGACTGGAGGAAATTTCCAAAACCTCACCCAGTGCCGTAAGGGCCAGGGATAGGGTCACGGAACTACAAATTGCTACATGCCAGCTAAATGCATGAATTGTGGTGATTCCTCTCACGCAAAGGACGACTGTCCTGTGAAGGAAGATCCTAAGAAATTTAAATGTTCAAATTGTGGTGAAAACCACAAATTCAATTTTTGGGAATGTAAGACTCGCAAAGCGATCCTACAATCTCGTTCTAACCGTCAGGTAGGAAACGCTCTACGTTTCCGACCAGGTACAAATTCCTCTGCTGTTAACAACGGTCAGCGAGGAACAAATTCTACATTCGTACCCGTAGGTACAAATATCACCCCTGCTTCAAATTCTTCATCTGTACCTACTCCCCTCGCTGCTAACAATGTTCAGCGAGTTAATGGAGCTACCTATGCTGCTATTGCAGCGGGTAGAAATCAAAATACTAACCAACGTTCTAACGGAAATTTTGACAATTTTGACTTAGGAAGCATTACTGCCCCTAAAATGGAATTTTTACAGAATTCATTAATCGACATGATTTCTGATATGCTTAAATCTAACTCCATGTTTGATGCTATTCAAACTGGAGTAAAATTTTCTAATAATATTGTCATGACTTTAAAATTCAGTAATGGATTTTAAAGCTTTAAATATTTTAAATTGGAATGCTCGATCTCTTAAAGATAATGAAGACGAGCTATTTAACTTTTTGAGAGTTCATAACGTGCATATTGCCGTTATAACTGAAACGTTCCTTAAACCTGACCATAAGGTTAAGAAGGACGCAAATTATTTGATTTAAAGAAATGATCGTCTTGATGGACCCTGTGGTGGCGTTGCCATCATTATTCATAGACGAATCAAACATAAAATTCTTTCTTCATTTGAAACCAAAGTTTTTGAAACTTTGGGAGTTTCTGTTGAAACAAAATTTGGACAACTTACGTTTATAGCTGCCTATTTGCCATTCCAATGCGTAGGCCAGAAAAAGAATTTTCTCAAGGGTGACCTTCAGAAACTTACCCGCCATAGGTCTAAATTCTTCATTATTGGTGATTTTAATGCAAAACACCGCTCATGGAATAATGCTCAAAGCAATTCCAATGGTAATATTCTGTTTGATGATTGCTCTGCAGGACGATGATCTTCAGCTCTTGATCCGTCTTAAAAATGTCCGTAGGAGACAATATCAAAGAACACGCGATCCTGCCATGAAAGTTATCTGGCGGGATTTGCAAAAAAAAATTAAAAAGCGATTCTCTGCCCTGAGGAACAAAACTTTTGAAAGTTATGTTTAGAAATTAGACCCGAGTTCCAAACCGTTTTGGAAACTACCAAAATTTTTGAAAAACCCTCAAAAGCCTATTCCATCGCTTAAAGAAGATGATAAAATTTCTATCGCAAATTCGGAAAATCTCATAAACTTGCCAAGCAATTCGAGAGTTTCCATAATTTCAGTTTGGGTCTTACTAGTCCTATTGAGAATCAGGTTGCGCAGGATTATCTGAATATTTTCTCTCGGAATTTTTTTTTGATGATTCCTGGGGGACTGACTTGGACGAAGTAAGATCTATAACTAAAAAGTTTTAAAATATGAATGCTCCAGGTGATGATGGAATTTTCTATATCCTCATCCTAAAAAAATGCAAAAGTTGATCCAATTTTGAAGCCGAATGAAAACCTAGCTGAAACTTTTAGCTACCGTCCAATAAGTTTGTTTTCTTCAATAAGTAATATATTTGAAAAGAATATTCTCAATTAAATGATGCTTCACATCAATACGAACTTAATTTTTGCAGACGAGTAGTTTGGATTTCGCCATGGGCATTCAACTACTCATCAACTCTTAAGAGTTACCAATTTAGTTCGTTCAAACAAATCTAAAGACTGCTTAACTGGAGTTGCTCTTCTAGACATAAAAAAAGCATTCAACAGTGTTTGGCATGAAGGTTTGATTGCTAAATTGAAAAAGTTTAATTTTCCACTTTATATTATGAAATTAGTTCAAAATTATTTAACTGACAGAACTCTGCAGGTAAATTATCAAAATTCCAAATCTAATCGACTACCTGTTAGAGCAGGAGTTCCTCAGGGTAGCATTCTTGGGCCTATATTGTATAACATTTTCACTTCGGACCTCCCTGATTTGCCTCAGGGTTGCCACAAATCTTTGTTCGCTGATGACACAGGCATTTCCGCTAAAGGAAGAAGTCTTCGTGTTATTTGCAGCAGACTTCAGAAAAGTTTAGATATTTTCTCTTCTTATTTACAAAAATGGAAGATTTCTCCCAACGCTTCCAAAACTCAACTTATAATATTTCCACATAAGCCTAGAGCTTCGTTTTTGAAACCTAGTAGTAGTCACTATGAACGGAGTTCCAATTTCCTGGTCAAACCAAGTGAAATATCTTGGATTAATACTTGACCAAAAATTAACTTTTAAAGATCACATTGAGGGCATTCAAGCCAAATGTAACAAATATATAAAATGTTTGTATCCTCTTATAAACAGGAAATCCAAACTTTGCTTGACGAATAAACTTCTAATATTTAAACGCTGTGCCAATATGGTCTAGTTGTTGCACTACCAGGAAAAAAGCAGTTCAAAGGATTCAGAACTAAGTTCGGAAGATGATTTTGAAGTTGCCTCCCTGGTACAGTATTACTGAGGTACATAGAATTTCGAATGTTGAGACTTTAGAACAAATGTCCAACAAAATAATTAATAATTTCAGGCAAAAATCGTTGCAATCCTCAATTGCAACGATTAATTCCTATTATACTTAGATAAGATTTAGTTTTAGTTTTTAGTTTTAAGATATCAATTGTTATATTGACATGCAGGTTTAAAAAACCTGTTTAAAATACTGAATTGCCAAGACAGGAATAATGTAAAAACACTTAGATATATATCATAACAATTAAGGCTGGTAAGTTACTGTAGTAACTGGAGCACCTAGGTTAAAAATGAAATGTAATTTATTTTGAATTTGGAACAAATATAGAGTTTAAAAAAATATTATTGTCGCATTAATGGCCCTTCGCTCATTCACAACTTCTATACAATTTTCATACTGCCGTACTCTAGCGGAACTATCTATCTACCCTCTTCAGACCTTTCTCTAGCTAATAAATTATCACACTATCATGTTAGATAGCATTTTCAACCAACTCTGGAAATTTATCAAAGTTAAAAAAAAATTCCAAGTGGGTGGAACCTGAGATTGAGTCCCTTCTGGCCACTGCATGAGCAATTATGAATAAAATTAAACCGTTCGTAGGTATTTAATGGGAGCAAAGCATTTTTCATTTGCAGCTGGAAATTTTCCAAACAATTTTTCTATCACTAGGAACGGAGCAATATTTTTTCATCTTCCAAAGCACCGATTAAAATTTTTAGTTCTGATGCAGTCTGACTATGCAGATCGTCGCATGTAGATTGAAATGCCTGCGCCCAAAAATCATTCTGTGGAGCGGGTTACTCATGCAGTAACCATGAGTAACCACCATTGCAGGTCTGATCCATGCAGAACTCACTTGGGCATAAACATATTTCATCAACATCTTGCTGTTTTAAATGCAAGATATTAAAAACTTTTCCAAATGATTGTACCCTCTTATAAACAGGAAATCCAAACATTGCCTGAAGAATACACTTCTAATATTTAAACAAGTGTTTAGACCGGCCATAATGCTATGCTGTGCCAATATGGTCTAGTTGTTGCACTGCCAAGAAAAAAGCACTTCAATGGATTCAGAACAAAGTTCTGAAGATGATTTTGAAGTTGCCTCCCTGGTACAGTACTACTGAGGTACATAGAATTTCGAATGTTGAAACTTTAGAACAAATGTCCAACAAAATAATTAATAATTTCAGGCAAAAATCGTTGCAATCCTCAATTGCAACGATTAATTCCTATTATATTTAGATAAGATTTAGCTTTAGTTTTTAGTTTTAAGTTGACAATTGTTATACTGACATGCAGGTATAGAAAAACTGTTTAAATACTGAATTGCCAAGGTAGAAACAATGTAAACACACTTATATATATTAAGGCTGGTAAGTTATAGTACTATAGTTAGTATAGTAAATGTAATTTATTTTGAATTTGGAGCAAACAAAGAGTTAACGAAAAAGAAAACAAGGTAACACAATTACGAATGATCTTCAACCCCATTCTCAACGATGTGTAGTAATCAATGGTTCAAACCTCCCCCATCCCGTTTTCATTTACCATACCCGCTTTAACCAAATTAATGTGATTATTAACATTTGTGTTTATCCTTTGGAGACTGACTTGTTGCACGGATTTTATTGTTAGAAGAATCAGCACACACATCGAGTGTTGTGATTGGGAGAGATAGGCAGGAGGGATATCGGTATTGAGAGCAGTGTAAGTGAGATAGAACGAGCGAACGAGTGAGGGTGAGCAAAGTGTGTGTTTTCGGTGTGTACAGGTGTAACACGGATGGACACGGTGTGACTGTTGAGGGGGTGGCTTAGAGCTGAGGAAGCAGCAAGGGGCAATGTCGTCAGAGCGAGAAAGTGTGAAAATAGGTGTGTAGGTGTTTGGTGCTCAATTGAAACGGATACTATTTAGATACATATATTTTGCATCATTCGTGGCTGGTTCTTGCTGGATTGCCAGGACGGAGATTGTGTGTATTGGGGGAAGATATTTGGTTTTTCGGGAAAATCCGGATTGTAAACATACCTCGAAGTGGCTCCAGCCGTCGGCGTTCAACTTAGCAGCCTCTACGCTACCTTTAGCTCCCATTTTGAGACGATTCTGCTCTGGCTGGGGGGTACTTGCTTGATATTATATCCTTTTCTGTATCGTTGATATTTGTTTGTGCAATTTAAGATGATTTTTTTTGGTTCGTGTCACAGTAGGTTTTAAAAGGCGATGGAAAAGATAGAAATAACGATAATCACTCACTAACACTGATTGGTATCTTCCTATGGAATTTGGTTTCTAACACTAATGATTGTTGATTCTTGACGCTTCCTTCTCCTGCTGCGTGCTTCCTCCAGACTAAAGCTTTGAATTAAAAATTATGCGTCAAACACACCCATCTCTCACGATCTGCAGAAAATAGGGCATCACAAAAGCTGCATTCACCGGGTAATCCTGTTTTGGCAACGGAAGTACTGCAATCGTACTACACCAAAGATCCCCGGTTCAGGATTGGGCTTCTGTCTACATTCATTTGGGAAGATGTAGGCAGAAACCAATGTTTGTACAAATAAATTTGTTTTTGTCTCACGAATTCCCACGCACAAGAGTGAAATGTCGCTTCACGTTTGGATTCTCCTTTATTCGGTGAAAACATTCCTTCAAACGGTAATTTTTGTATCGATGTTGCTACTTCTGTTGAAGATCAATAACCACTGGTATTCTGAGCGAACTTTGATGCACTTTCATTAATTTTAACGAAACTCTAACCACCGAAAGAAACTCTTTTGCCTTTGCATTCCATTACTCCGATCGATAGTACAATGTTGGTTCTTCAGCTCAGCTCACTCCGTAGAACTCACTGCTCACCCCCCGGGGAGCTCATCTCACACGTTCTCGCTCACCCGCGCGATGACAGCTTTCATTCGCTTTTATCCTAATTTTCCCGAAATTTTCATCGATTTCAAAACTTCATCATCACCATTTTATCGCATGTGTACATCTATAAGCACCTTCATACACACACACGCATACACACATACAAACACACGTCACATTCACGCTGTCTCGTGTCTCGTTAGCCTCCCAGCTCAAACACTCCGCCACCCACTTCTTTTCGCAGAGCCTACAGGGTAGGTTCTTACGCCCCTCAGCTGTATGTGGCCTAGTTGGGGTTTTCGCTCGCACCGAGACGGAGAGCGATTGCTAATCCGTACTATATTTCGTAGGCGACAACTAGTTCCCAGCTTCAGTCCTCATCCCTTACCAAGTCAGCCGTCCCTAGCTGACTGTCACCGTTTTTCGCTTCACAGTTTTTTTTTTCTTTTTTCGGGGGTTTCCCTGACCACAAAATGGCCCACTTTAATCCCCGTCGGTTAACGCTAAAGATCTTCGTCCTTTCACCGTCCTTTTTTTCGTTAGTCGATGCAATTTTTCCTCGAATCCTTCCAAATCAACATTTTTCGTCGAGCGGAGATTTGACTTTCGGAAGCAATTCTTCACTTTTGCACTTTCACCACCGAGCGCCTCCTCGAAGGATTCTTCTTAGTCGCTAAATTGCTATCAAATCTTCCTCCAAATCGTTGTCACACACGCCCTATTACCTGAACAAAACTACACACCATCACCGTCGACAGCATCAATCAATCCATTCGTCCGTCGTCGTTCGCTAAAATCTACAAAAAGCAAACCTTCCTACACGGTAGCGGATTTTTTCCTCGCTGGAGGAACGCAAAATTTGTCGCCCTTTCCTTACAACGAGATGAACGAGAAAAAGCTTCCAACCAACCAACCAACCAACTAACCGATTGGCGAAAAAGTAGTCCAAATCGGGATGCTGTGAGTTTTCTCGTGATACTACTACATCGGCAGCAGACGGTGTCTGTGATGCACTTACACACACACACACACTCGGGCATACTCATACAACTAAGAAGTCCTGTGAAAATGGGGTGGACGGGGGGATCTCTGAATCTGGCTGGCGATACAAGCACACTTCGTTTCGTTTTGTTTGTGGAGTCACCTGCTTTGGGTGGAACGGAAGAATGAAGGACGCAGCAAAGCGGGAGGTAGACTGTGTCCCTATGCTGTTTGAATCCGCACACACAGCATCCATTCACCCCGGTTTGGCACAGTGGGACATGGTGGCAGGTTTCCCGGTGTGGTATTTGATTGTCTGGGAAATCATTACAGCTATGCTCCGAAGACTGGCCGATTTTTCTCGGCGGGCTTTCTACCAGTTAGTCTGTAATTTTGCATGTCAGTGACGTCAATGGAGAAATAGTCACTCGCAGAAAATCAGAGCAATTGGTTGAAGCCCCGCCGAGAAAGAGCGGTGGGTACAAATCAGCGGGTAACGCGTTCTGCGGGGGAAAGCTGCATGGTAATAAATTTTTAGCTGCAACCTCACTCTTGCAAAACTACATCCGTTGGATTATAATATATAATTAAATGTTTGCTTAGTTCGGAACATCGCAACTTGTTTCGAATCTCAGATCTCTAAAAATTAAATGTCCTAGAGTAGGCCTGCCCAAAGTACGGTCCACGACCCCATTTTGTGCGATCAGCAACGAGTTTAGAAAAAGCATTCTCATCCGGCCAGCAGGTTTTTCTATTCTCGTTTATCTTGATCAGTATGTCGGTAATAGTTTCTGAGACCAATATGCATCGAGTGTTGGACTGCAGCTAACAATTGTAAGTTTCTTATTAAATAACTAAGCTTCTGACCACTGTTATCTTAAAACTGCTTATAAACAAATATAATAAATAAAAAGTTGGATTTTGAAACATTGCTGAACCCTACTAGCATGCTTGGCATAATCCAGTTGCGGAAACATTTATATGACTTATTTCAGTCCTTAAAAAGTTGCTCCAACTTTTTGTGATGGCAGTGAGGTACTTGAACAGATCCGTTCTCAATGCCGTATTAATAGAGGAGGATGGTGGGCTAGAGCCAGGGCATGATATTTGGAGAGGCTGTGGCAACCTATGGTACCCTAAATATCATCATCACCACTCAGGTAACCCACTCTCCCGATTCACTAACACCCGATCTCGGAACCCTCATACTGTAACCGATCACTCGATCGAACCTCAAAACACAATCACCAACACCACTCTATTGTGAAACCTCCGATCAAGTCCGCAGCGGCAGGCTCTCCGATGCGGATACAGAGGTTACATAGGTTACAGATGTCAAAAAATACATTAAATGGTGTTGGCTGACCGGAAAGTGAAGGTGCGCGAGCTAGCAGATACCACAAAGATTAGTACTGAGCGCACACGCCATATTTTGAGCGAGAAGTTATCCTGCCGCTGGGTGCCACGCAAGCCCGCTCCTGACCAAAAACACGAACGGGAGAGCACTTCGATAGAGTGTTTGGACTTGCTGACGCGGAATCGGGCGGTCTTTTGGCGTCGATTGGTAACTGTTGATGAAACCTGGATCCACTATTACACCCCAGAGAACAGAATGAGCACCCGGCAATGGACTAAAGCCGGCACGAGTGCTCCGAAGCAGCCGAGGGAGGCTCGATAGGTCGGAAAGGTTATGGCGTCAGTTTTCGTGATAAAAAACCGAGCGTTCTGCTGGATTTTGATCCGTTTCTTTGCACGGGTGTGTTTTTTTTTGTAACTAGCGTAAGTGTGCCTGCGATTTGCATTGAGTGTCGGAGATTGTGAGTAAGCTGAAGGATGCCTCGCTGGATACGCCCAAGACTGGACGGGCGGTAGCTGGTGGCCGTGAACGGTTCCTGGGGAAAGCACTAGATGCGACCCTCCTCCCAGATGACCATGGTAATATAGGAAGTATTGCAACAAAGGTAATTGCTATTAGATATTTTGCAAACAGTGACAGATAGCGGACATGAAGAACCAGTGGAGGTGCCAGGCAATGGTGTTTATCCTAGACAAATGGTAAGTTACAAATTCGCAGTTGTCGTTGTCGTAGGCGCCGTTGCAGTCGCTGTTGTAATCGCCGTCGTAGTCGTAGGCAGTACTGTTAGTATATTTAAAATTAACCAAGAACTGCTGAAAATATGAATTATCGCGTATTTCTGTTGTTCATTACATGTCAAGAGAAATTCGAGAACGTAATTTCATTTGAATAGCTTATTTAACCAGGTCTTAAACAATCGTCACGTCGGTCATAGCTTGTTATGATTGCCTGAACCATGCGTAAAGAGAAAATCGAAACATTTAACGTCGCGTGAAAGTGGATCTTAATGAAGGCCTCTTTCGTAGCTTTTAGTTTAATGATTTCAAAGATCTTCGGTTGCAGTGGCTTAATTACTGAGCAGAAAAATGCGGTCCTTGGTCCTTTTATATTAAAAATGTATGGTTAGATCGCTTGTTTATCGTGTATTTTGTAAAACTGATTCGTTGTCGTCGGTGCCGGGTTTGAATAGTTATAAAAACTTGAGTAACGCTATAATGTGATATGAGAGGCTCGGTGGCCTTAGAACAACCGGTTTTGCTTACTGAACAGAACATCATGAGTCTAATCTCAAGCCCATCCACATTCAAGATCCGTCAATCGTTTTATTTGTTAACATGACTACATGGTAATAGCAGCAACTCGATGATTAAAAAGGAGCTCGTCTGCCTAGTGGCAAACGTTATTGCTTACTGAGCAGAAGACCGTGGGTTCAATCCCAAGCTCCTTCGCGTTATATGATTGTTAGGACATCAATTCAGCTTATCGTTTACCAAAACGAACCCTGCTACAAACCCAACCCTATTACCCAATATCCCATTGATTCCTCGTGCAAGTGCATAGGTGTTCTCGGCTTCCATCAAAGCGAGTGTCATGTCAACACATTCCTACCCCTTCCTTTCTTGACCTGTGTTCGGGCGCGGCCGGCGCTGGTATTGCCTAGTTTGAGATCTCCAGTTTTTACACATTGAGGATGATTGCTAGGCCAAGCATCGTCTATTGGTTCTCTGTGTAATTACAGCTGGTCTGGCAATAACAGAGTAGCAACCGTGGGCGGTCAATCATGCTCATGCTCAAAAACCGAGCGTTCTGCTGTCCGAAATGAATCGTCTAAGAGGTGATGGTTGTACGGACACTGTGCTTTCGAATCTGTGGCTACGTGTATTGCCCACTACCGTCCGTTCGATCATCGTTTCAATGCCAACCGCCATACTCGACGATC